AAATTACAGCAGTCCTATCGAAGGCAGGACTTCTGGTTCCCGTCCAATGAAATGTTACAGAAATTACAGCAGTCCTATCGAAGGCAGGACTTCTGGTTCCCGTCCAATGAAATGTTACAGGCAGTGTCATTTCAGCACCGGATAGTGGCAAGATTAAAGCACAAATAACAGCCTTCTATTAGTGATGGAATCAGTTAAAAAAACAAGTAACAATGTTTGCTCCAGGTAAGAGTTAAAATTGATAGCTTGGTGACTGCATATAACCATCAGCTGAGGGCAAGAGAGTGAATGAACACATTTAGTCTGATGAATTTTCTCCATCCTCCTTTCTCCTTGATCATTTAATGAGAACACCGAGATCAAAAAAAATTGCTCTCCATTTCTACCTTCTTATTCTAGACTTGATAACAGGCTCACACAAGGCTAAGCACATTGTCCAAACACGTCCCAGGGGGAAAAAATATATACAAACTTTAATGAATGAATGTCTTTTTTCTTTTTTAAAGCTCTTAAGACCCAACTGTTACTCCAGACACTTGGAAGTTTTCTACACACACTCAAGGGAGAGGTCCCCGTGCCCGAGGCCAAGACAGAGATGGAGCCCAGACAGAGCATGAGCAGGACCCAGGACCTTGCTCTGGAAACCGATTCAAGTAAGAGTGTCCACGACCTAATACCATTCTTCCCTCCCAGCCACTTCGCCTGGACTCAGTTCTGGAAGCTTCCCGATGTATTGGCAGTATGGAGACAAAAGCAAACAAATGACTGAATGGGACGAATCACAGGCTCCCCATCCCTAACGTCCCATGGTGCTTCCATGTGGTCCTGGGTTCCAGGCCCAACAAATGGCATTCCTACTTTGGAATCCTCTGAGATGGTCAGCAGGTGCTAGAAACCATCTGACGGCCTGCTGGAGCCAAAAGAGGGCAGGCGTGGCCTCAAACTGTGTGCCACGAGTTTGCAGGAACTGAGAAATCCGCAGGGCTTGGGAAAGGAAGGTTTCAACACCCCTAGATCCTTCCTTCTACCAACATTCAGACTGTCTGGGAATTTTATTGGCGGGGGGACCAATGACACTGACGTGGACACGTGTCTGCATCGTCACAGGTTGCAGAAATCAAACTGACAGAAGGCCTTAGAGGAAAGGCTTTCGCACAGGATCTGGGGTCGGGCTTCGGGAAGACTCCTGAAAAAAATCAATTAACTTTGTGTCTCCACACAACTAGGGCACCTACCAGGCACCGGTGGGGGACCATGGACACCTAAAGGGGGCGGGAGGAACCCCCAGCGACTGGCTTGCGGGATCTCAGTTCCCAGGCCACAGGCTGGGCCCAAGCTCCTGTGGTGGGAGCTCCGAGTCCAAACCATTGGACTAACACAGAACCTCAGACCCCAGGGATCATCAATCGGAGTGAGGCCTGCCAGAGGATCTCATCTCAGCACCAAGACCCAGCTCTATCCAATTGCCTGCAAACTCCAGTGCTGGACACCTCAGGCCAAA